TCTTATTTTGTTTAGCAGTGGTTTGTAGTTCTTCTTGAAGAGGTCCTTCACATACTTTGTCAGTTGTATTCTTAGGTATTTTATTCTCTTTGTAGCAATTGTGAATGGGAGTTTGCTCTTGATTTGGCTCTCTGTTTGTCTCTTATTGGTATATAGGAGTGCTTGTGATTTCTGCACATTGATTTTGTATCCTGAGACTTTGCTGAAGATGCTTATCAGTTTGAGAAGATTTTGGGTTGAGACGATGGGGTCTTCTAAGTATGCAATCATGTCATCTGCAAATAGAGACAGTTTGACTTCCTCCTTTCCTAATTGAATATCCTTTATTTCTTTTTCTTGCCTGATTGCTCTGGCTAGAACTTCCAATACTATGTTGAATAGGAGTGGTGAGAGAGGGCATCTTTGTCTAGTGCCTGATTTCAAAGGGAATTCTTCCAGCTTTTGCCCGTTCAGTATGATAGTGGCTGTAGGTTTGTCGTAAATAACTTTTATCATTTTATGATACGTTCCGTTGATACGTAGTTTATCGAGAGTTTTTAGCATAAAGGGCTGTTGAATTTTGTTGAAGGCCTTCTCTGCATCTATTGAGATAATCATGTGGTTTTTATCTTTGGTTCTGTTTATGTGATAGATTACGTTTATGGTCTTGCACATGTTGACCCAGCCTTGCATCCTCGGGAAGAAATCTGCTTGATTGTGGTGAATAAGCTTTTTGATGTGCTTTTGCATTTGGTTTGCCAGTATTTTATTGAAGATTTTTGTGTCGCTGTTCATCATGTATATTGGCCTGAAGTTTTCTTTTTTAGTTGAGTTTCTGCCTAGTTTTGGTATCAGGATGATGTTGGTCTCATAAAATGAGTTAGGGAGGATTCCCTCTTTTTGTATTGTTTTGTATTGTTTGATATAGTTTCAGAAGGAATGGTACTAGGTCCTCTTCGTATGTTTGGTGGAATTTGGCTGTGAACCCATCTGGACCTGGACTTTTTTTGGTTGGTAGGCTACTGATTGCTGCCTCAACTTCAGCCCTTGCCATTGGTCCATTCAGGGTTTCAGCTTCCTCCTGGTTTAGTCTAGGTAGAGTACAAGGGTCCAGGAATTTATCCATTGCTTCTTGGTTTACTAGTTTATGTGCATAGAGTTGTTTGTAGTAATCTCTGATGGTAGTTTGTATTTCTTTGGGATCAGTGGTGATATCCTCTTTATCTTTTTCTATCGCATCTATTCGATTCTTCTCTTTTCTTTTTTATTAGTCTGTCTAGTGGTCCGTCTCTTTTGTTGATCTTTTCAAAAAACCAGCTCTTGGATTTATTGATTTTTGGAAGGATTTTTTGTGTCTCTATCTCCAGTTCTGCTCTGATCTTAGTTATTTCTTGTCTTCTGCTAGCTTTTGAGTTGTTTTGATTTTCCTCCTCTAGGTCTTTCAGTTTTGATGATAGGGTGTCAATTTTAGATCTTTTGTTGTTTCTCATGTGGGCATTTATTGCTATCAGTTTCTCTCTCGACATTGCTTTAAAGGTGTCCCAGAGATTCTGGTAAGTTATGTCTTCATTGTGATTGGTTTCGAAGAACATCTTTATTTCTCCCTTCATTTCATTGTTTATCTAGTCGACTCTCAGAAGCAAGTTGTTCAGTTTCCAAGTGGTTGTGCAGCTTTAAATGTGTTTCTTAATCCTGAGTTCTAATCTGATTGTGCTGTGGTCTGATAGACTGTTGTGATTTCTGTTCTTTTGCATTTGTTGAGGAGTGATTTATTTCCAATTATGTGGTCAGTTTTAGAGTAGGTGTGATGTGGTGCTGAGATAAATGTATATTCTATGGATTTGGGGTGGAGCATCTTGTATATGTCTGTTAGGTCCAATTGGTCCAGCCCTGTATTCAAGTCCTGGATGTCCTGGTTAATTTTCCGTTTCGATCTGTCTAATATTGAGTGTAGTGTTGAAGTCTCCCTCTATTACTGTGTGGGAGTCTAAATCTCGTTTTAAGTCATTAAGAACTTGCTTTATGTATCTGGGTGCTCCTGTGTTGGGTGCGTATATATTTAGGAGAGTTAGCTCTTCTTGTTGGATTGGTCCTTTTACCATGATGTAGTGCCCTTCTTTGTCTCTTTTGATCTTTGTTGGTTTGAAGTCCGTTTTATCAGAGACTAGGATTATAAACCCCTGCTTTTTTTTGTCCTCCATTTGCTTGGTAAATCTTCTTCCATCCCTTTATTTTGAGTCTATGTGTGTCTTTGTATGTGAGATGGGTTTCCTGAATACAGCACACCGATGGGTCTTGACTTTTTATCCAGTTTGCCATTTTATGTCTTTTGATTGGGGCATTTAGGCCATTTACATATAATGTTAATATTGTTATGTGTGAATTTGATCCTGCCATTTTGTTACTGGCTGGTTTTCTTGCCCGTTAGTTGACTTATTTTCTTTACTGCATTTTTTGGTCCTTGCTGTTTGGTGTGCTTTTGCAGTGGCTGGTACTTGTTCCTTTCCATGCTTAGTATTTCTTTCAGAAGCTCTTGTAGGGCAGGTCTCGTGGTGACAAAATCTCTCAGTAATTGCTTGTACATGAAGGATTTTATTTCTCCTTCACTTATGAAGCTTAGTTTGGCTGGATATGAGATTCTGGGTTGAAAGATCTTTTCTTTAAGGATGTTGAATATTGGCCCCTACTCTCTTCTGGCTTGTAGGGTTTCTGCTGAGAGATCTGCTGTGAGTCTCATTGGCTTCCCTCTGTGGGTAACCTGACCTTTCTCTCTGGCTGCCCTTAGCATTTTTCCTTCATTTCAACCCTGGTGAATCTGACGATTATGTTCCTTGGGTTGCTCTTCTTGAGGAATATCTTTGTGGAGTTCTCTGTATTTCTTGAATTTGAATGTTGGACTGCCTCGCTAGGCGTGGGAAGTTCTACTGGGTAATATCCTGGAGTGTGTTTTCCAGTTCGGATTCATTCTCCCTGTCACATTCAGGTACACCAATCAAGCGTAGATTAGCATTTTTCACATAATCCCATATTTCTTGGAGGCTTTGTTCATTTCTTTTCACTCTTTTTTCTCTTGTCTTGCCCTCTCTTTTTATTTCATTGAGTTGATCTCTGATATCCTTTCTTCTGCTTAATCGATTCGGCTCTTAAAACTTCTGTTTGCTTCATGTAGTTCTCGTGCTGTGTTTTTCAGCTCCATCAAGTCGTTTATGCTCTTCTCTAAGCTGGTTATTCTAGTTAGCATTTCGTCTAACCTTTTTTTTTTTTAAAGGTTTTTGGTTTCTTTGCATTGAGTTAGAATGTGTTCCTTTAGCTCAGAAAAGTTTGTTATCATCCACCCTCTGAAGCCTATTTCTGTCAATTTGTCGCATTCTTTCTCGGTCATGTTCCCTTGTTGTTGAGGAGTTGTTTATCCCTTGAAGGAGAAGTGGTGTCTGGTCTTTGATGGTTTTATCTTTTTTGTGCTGGTTTTTTCCCATCTTCGTGGATTTACCTGGCTGTGATCTCAGGGAGCAGAGGTTCTACTGGGTTTCTAGGGACTCCTTCAGGTTACTAGGTGAGCTTCTGGTGTCTTTGTTTACACTGGGAGGTTAGGCCCGCCTCTTCTGCTGACCTGGAGGCACTTCTGGGTGATCGAGAACACCCTCCCGTTGCTACCTAGGCTTCCTGTGTTTTTTTGTTAAAACATGAAGCCTAGTTTCACCTCTTTAATGGTCGGTGTGTCTTTCCTCCACAGGGCTGGATCATTCAGGGCTCAGCTCAGACTGATGCACTGGTTGTGTAACCTGCTAGAGTTAGTGCTTCAGCCCTCTGGGGTTTATGGGGGGAGGGTAGGGACCCGCCCAGCCGCACTGTCTGTCTCCCAGCTTTCAGCTTCCCGCTCTCCGGTCATGGGGGAGGGGCCACCCAGCTGCTCTGTCTGTCTTCCCACTTTCAGCTCCCTCTCTCTCTGGGCAGGGGGAGGGGGCGATAGCTGGGTCCGCAGGCTCTCCCGGCCAGCTTATGGGCTTATGTGTTTGCTTAGATCTGTGCGCCAATCTGGAACACCGTCCTGGATTATTATTCAACTCTGCACTTGTAATTCCTGGCGCTTGACTGGCAAAGATCCCGTTTTGTGTATTGCTGAGGCTTTGGGGGAAGCGCTATATCTGGACTGGAGTGCCAGAGGTGGAGCCTCCCACTCGCAGGTCAGATGCACTTTCTGTGTGAAGCGGCACCCTTCCCTGCCTCAGTCTGCCCTGCCTGGGCTTTGCTCACCATCCGACCAGACCCGTTGAAATGCACCTGGTACCTCGGTTGGAGCTAGGAGATCTCTCGATTTCTGCTACTCTCTGGCTGGGTGTTGTGCACCGGAGTTGTGTATATTCGGCCATCTTGACTCAATCACCTGGGCCAGTTTACAATGATCATCTTTGCATTAACTTGATTGAGAATTCACCTATGCCCGATCCATAGAAAATTTCCAGGTAGCTCCCTGTCCTCCTTTTCCCTCAATTCCTTGGATTGTGAACTATCCCTTAATTTTATCTGAGCTGAGTTCCTCTCCCCCTTCCCACCCCTTATCCCCCTCCCTTTTCTTTTTGAGGTCCTCGGGCTGGGGACTGATGGTGTCCTCCCTATGTACAAATCTGCCTCTAATTATTCTACTCCTGCCTAAGGAGGAAGGCTTACAGTATTTGTTTTTCAATATTTTAACTTTGCTGTTTGCTGGGGTGCATGTGTGTACATATCTTGTGAATACATAGCTATTTTAATGTAATTTTATTAATACAGTACAGAAGTTTTTTTCATATGATGTGCCCTAGTTATTGTTTGTAAAGAGTTGGTAGAGGCATTGGTGTTGCAAATGGGTTGCTATTTAGGATGAATGATGATCAATGCTAGCAGATAAAATTTATTATTAATAGCATTATTCATTTTAATAATCATTTCTATAAATTATAACTGCAGGCGTAGACCCAGATACAATGTTTTTTAAATAACAGGGTTGCTCAATTAATAATTTTTTTGTTTCCTTCATTCAGATGTTTCAACAGTATCCGAGGATGGCATATCCTCCTCTGCATGGTCCCATGAGATTCCCACCTTCTTTATCTGAAACAAACAAGTAAGGTTATTAAATGATTAAAGTCTATAAGGATTATATGTTTGTTAAGATTTAATAAAGGTTAAGTAGATTGTGTGATTTTGAGTTGTGTGATTGATCGTTTTTCTGTCCTCACAGTACCATTGTCATTAATAAGTAATTGGCTAATTCTTATAAGACAGAAATGAAATAATTCATTTTTTTAAGCGTTTAAATTAATTTACATAGGATTTTGAAAACTGAAAACCAGGCTGAGTGCGGTGGCTTACGCCTGTAATCCCAGCTCTTTGGGAAGCCAAGGAGGGCGAATCATGAGGTCAGGAGGTCCAGACCAGTCTGGCCAACATGGTGAAACCCAGTCTGTACTAAATATATATATATATATAAAAGATTAGCTGGATGTGGTGGTACGCTCCTGGAATCCCACCTACTTGGGAGGCTGAAGCAGGAGAATTGCTTGAACCTGGGAGGCGAAGGTTGCAGTGAACCAAGCTTGCACCACTGCACTCCAGCACCACTGTAGTCTAGCCTGGGGGACAGAGTGAGACTCCGCCTCAGAAAAAAAAAAAAACAACAACCTGAAAACCATGGCCCCAAAATTGATGACACGTATTTTTCTCTTCTGCCTTTCATATTTTGGACTCCCCATTCTCTATCTCTCTCTCTCTCTCTCTTTTTTTTTTTGCTTTATATGTGAGACTTCAACATCCTCTTGAAATATTTTCCTTAAAGTTACGTGTTTTGAAGTTAGTTTTATTCATATTGTTATCCTTTAGCATATATTTGTTTTATTTTAAATATATGAGAATTCTTAAATACTTTGTCAGCTGTTACTTATTATCCTATAATTATGTAATATTAATTTCTTCATACACATGTCAGTGCAGAACGTTTTGTGTATCTTGGTGTAGAAAACACTAATGTTGAAATGAACTAAATTCCAATCTTTTGGTGTTCTCCTAGTTTAGTAAAATTTTGTATTTTTTCCCACCATGACCTGCCTTTCATAGAGGCCTTCGAGGAAGAGGCCCTCCTCCTTCATGGGCCTCTGAGCCTGAACGCCCATCCATTCTCAGTGCATCAGAACTGAAGGAGCTTGATAAATTTGATAATTTAGATGCTGAAGCTGATGAAGGTTGGGCAGGTAAGAAGCAAAATTAATTAAGTGCTTTAAATTGTTAGATGTTTTCCAGCACTCAGTCTGAATTTTCCTTAATTTAATAGGTGCTCAGATGGAAGTAGATTATACAGAGCAACTGAATTTCAGTGATGATGATGAACAAGGAAGTAACAGCCCTAAAGAGAATAACAGGTAAGTTATGATATCTTTTACTAATAACAGTATGAATTTGTTGATACAATATTAGCTACTTATGCAGAGAGGCTTTATTAATAGATCATTGTTGGTTATTTATAGCATTTGTATATTCTCAGAAGTTTTACTGAATAGAGGGTGATGAAAGAGCTAGAGTAATACAGTATACAACTAATCAAAGAATTAAAATTTGACATGTCTCAAGATAGTTAAATTGAAAAGATTCTTAGGGCTGGGTGTGGTGGCTTATGCCTATAATCCCAGCACTTCGGGAGGCCAAGACAGGCAGACTTACTTGAAGTCAGGAGTTTGAGACCAGCGTGGCCAAATGGTGAAACCCTGTCTCTACTAAAAATACAAAAATTAGCCAGTTGTGGTGGTGCACGACTGTAATCCCAGCTACTTAGGCTGAGGCAGGAGAATCACTTGAATCCAGGAGGCGGTGGTTGCAGTGAGCTGAGGTGATACCACTGCAGTCCAGTCTGGGTGACAGCGGAAGAAGGACATTTAGATGCTTGGCACCTAGTTTGGGGAATCTTTTGAGAATTGGTATTAGGGACCATTTTAAAGTGTTACTAGCTTGACCTGATCCATGTTTACAAAATTGGAGATTAATTCCTTGGGTTACTACAACTACTTCAGGGCCTTGATTTCTTAAAACTTAGTAAACTGCATTAGGGCCTTGGAAAATAGGGAGCTTTTTATTTCTTTTTCCTTTATTCTGGAATATTGGAACACCAGCCAGGAATATATGGGTTATAGATCGCAAAAGTTGGGTTTTTAAAATATACAGAAGTTTGTAAGCACATTTGATATAATTTTTCAGTTATGGCATTATGACAATTGTTTTATGATCATTTGAGAGATACCTGTGATTTGTTGTGGCCTTTAAAAAATACTGTAGTTTGATTTATCTTTTTATTAAATCAGAGTAAATTAGAATACAGTTAAATAATAATTCCAATGTTATCCAGTTACATTTGGATTATATTTCTTGGGTAGAGGACTTAGAAAATTATGTGATTATATTCTTTTGCCAGGATATATGTCTGATATGTTTAGATTTGACAACTACTGTATTGTACTTTCATAGTATATATTCATTGAATGAACGAATTACCACTAATAGGTCACACACCCTTCTCATTCCTGAATACAGTTCGCCCCAGAAACCATACAGAAATTTTTTTTAATTGTGAAAAAAAAAATGTATGTACTTATGATACAGTTGGTCCACTTTATTTTTTACGGCATTTTGATTTTTCAGTGAGGATCAAGGTTCAAAAGCCTCTGAAAACAATGAAAACAAAAAGGAAGCAGATGAAGTTTCCAACACTAAGTCATCTTCTCAAATACCTGCCCAACCACCAGTAGCAAAAGGCCCCTATGGGAAAGGGCCTCCATTTAATCAGGTTTGTTGGACTCATGGAGATCCTTGTTATTGCAAGGATCTCCTTCTTGTAATTACTAGATAATTAGTAATTATTATAATTAGTCTTATTATAGAGTGGAATGGGGCTTAGAAAAAGAGAACTGTGCATTTTTTCTTGAATAGTCCTGGATCGATCATAATTTTTATTGCATCTAATAGGAATTATCAATGCAGTAGCTAAAATTATCAAGTAAAAACTAAAGCTTCACCTTTTTCACCTTACGATATAGCTAAGTCATAACAGTGAAGGGATAACATTTTTCTAAAATAAACATTGCTGAAGTGTTCTGTGGTTTATTGAATAATTAAATACTAGTCAGTCTTTTTGTGTGAACTGGTACACTGTAGTGAAATCACACATGGTGAATAGGGAGATCTAAGTCTGAATCATTTTGAAGAACGTTGTGAATGAAGGGAAATGTGTGTGCAACAGCAGATATATTTGATCCCACTTCTGAGTTGGTAAATGGTTGCAGGAATTGCAACCATTGTAAACTGGGAATAAAAAGGGGTATCTTCAAGGGAGTCCACTCATCTCTTTATTAAAGAATCAGTATAGTTAGTGTGTATTTGTTGGATTCATACAAAATCGACGGAGGAACTTGTCTCTTCCGAGGACTAAAAGGCAGCTAACAGTTTCTTTGAAAGGAAAAAGTCAATAAGCAGCAGTTACAGTGTGCTAAGTGGTGTAATCATAGAGGGTACAAAATAAGTTCTTCAAGAATTCATTTAAGGCAGAAGGTTGTTGAAGACTAAGTACTTAAGCTAATTCTTAAGCATGAATCAGCCAGTATACAAAAGGAGTATAGCTTTTCCAAGCAGTGCAAACACATATAGAGAAGTATAAGAAAACATGGTACATTCAGGAAATTTTAAGTAGTCTGATATGGGAGAGAGGCAAGAGAACTGTGTTAAGAACCACTTGGTAAAAATGTGAGCCGGATGCAGTGGCTTAACGCCTGTAATCCTTGCACTTTGGGAGGCTGAGGTGGGCGGATCATGAGGTCAGGAGATTGAGACCATCCTGGCTAACATGGTGAAACCTGTCTCTACTAAAATACAAAAAAAATTAGCTGGGTGTGGTGGTACACACCTGTAGTCCCAGCTACTAGGGAGGCTGAGGCAGGGGAATCACTTGAACCTGGGAGGCAGAGGTTATAGTGAGCCTAGATCGCCCGACTGCCCTCCTGCCTGGTGACAAAGCAAGACTCTGTCTGAAAAAAATTTTAAAAATTAAAAAAATATATGCTCTACAAGGATTTTAATCTTAAGGCATTGACGATTCATTGAAGAACAAGTTTATGAGCCTGAAAAAGAAGAATTTTTCAAATAACATTTTAATAAATTTTTGTGTGATGTTTTACTTAGTGGCTAATGGGAAATGAGAATTTTTCATGAAAGAATAGAGGAATAGATGGAACATGTCTTGATGTATTTGACTTCATTTGTGACAGTGGTGTATATATTAGCAAGTGAATATATATTTTGTTTCATTAATGTTTTCGATGTCTTTTTTTTAAAAAAGATAAGTCTTTTTTTAGTTTGCCAAAGAATTGAGCTTACATAAATACAATTTAGTAATTAGAGGTATAGCTCTCTAATAAGTGATCTACCCACCTCAGTCAGATTTTCTGGATCAGAATTCCAGAACAGCTAGACTAAAATTCTTTTTTTTTCCGCTTCTGAGACAGAGTCTTGCTCTGTCACCCAGGCTTGAGTTAGGTTGCGCTATCTTGGCCTACTGCAACTTCCGCTTCCTGGGCTCAGGTGATTCTTGTGCCTCAGCCTCCCGACTAGCTGGGACTACAGTGGGGCACCACCATACCCAGCTAATTTTTGTATTTTTAGTAGGTAGATACAGGATTTCACCATGTTGGCCAGGCTGGTCTTGAACTCCTGGCCTCAAGTGATCCACCCACCTCAGCCTCCCAAAATGGTTGGATTATAGGCGTGAGCCACTATGCCTGGCTGAAATTTTTATTGTAAAGTGAATTTCAGATTCTAACCTTATTGAAATGGCAGAGTGATTCCATAGAAAGCAGTCTTGCAATGAGTGATGTTTTTATTTAAAAAAAAGGAGAAGGAGAAAGATGATTTAGCAATCTTGTCTCATTGAGAAAATCAGTACATTCAGAAGTATTTCTAGTAGATGTATTTTTTCTTTTTCTTTCTTTCTTTTTTTTTTTTTTCCCCTCACTCTGTCGCCCACGCTGGAGTGCAGTGGCGGGATCTTGGCTCATTGCCACCTCTGCCTCCTGGGTTCAAGCAGTTCTCCTGCCTCAGCCTCCCAAATAGTTGCGATTAAAGGTGCCTGCCACCACACCCGGCCAATTTTTGTATTTTTAGTAGAGACAGGGTTTCACCATGTTGGCCTGGCTGGTCTCAAACTCCTGACCTCAGGCGATCCTCCCACCTCAGCCTCCCAAAATGTTGGGATTACAGGCGTGAGCCACTGAGCCTGGCTGATATATTTGTTCTTATATGGTTATTTTTAAATAATCTTTCAGGCTGGTGTTGTGGCTCATGCCTGTAATTCCAGCACTTTGGCAGGGTGAGGCAGGCCGATCACTTGAGGTCAGGAGTTCGAGACCAGCCTGGCCAACATGGTGAAACCCTGTCTCTACTAAAAGTGCGAAATTAGCCGGGCATGGGGACACACGCCTGTAATCCCAGGTATTCGGCAGGCTGAGGCATGAGAATCGTTTGGCCCTGGGAGACAGAGGTTGCAGTGAGCCAAGATCATGCCACACTGTATTCCATCATGGGCAACAGAGCATGAATGTCTCCAAAATAATAATAATAATAATAATTCTTTTTTCTTTATAATAGGAACGTGGAACATCTTCACATCTGCCACCACCTCCAAAGTTGCTTGCACAGCAGGTAAATTTTAACCATTGCTTGTTTATGGTTTATATGTTTTATTTGACCTCTTGTTTTGTTTTAGTGGAAAGGTACCACATTTTTTATTTAAAACTTTTATGAACAGTTACTGACTTTTTACCTTGTGACTGTTAACATGTCTTACTCTGCATCTTTTTTTCATTTTCATTCTCAGTTGATAAGCATGCTCCAAGTTTCACTAAGAAAATAAGAAGCACCTGGGAGATAACATTTTTTCATTTCATTGCCCATATACTTTTCTTCCCATTGTCCTTGATGCTAAGGACACTTAACTTTGTTCCTTGTATCCTTTTCCACTTATGATAGTGCTATCTCTCATCTTTTAAGAAAAACCAAAAACTTCACAAAATCCCCTGTCTTAACATTACTGTACCCTACTACCTTCCATGCCATTGAGTATCTGCCCTATTTCTCTTTCTCCATCAGAGTGAAATTCTTATTTATTTATTCATTTATTATTCCTATTATTATTTTTAAAGACGGGGTTACACCATGTTGGTCAGGCTGGTCTTGAACTCCTGACCTCAGGTGATCTGCCCACCTTGGCCTCCAAAGTGCTTGGATTACAGCCGTGAGCCACGACACAAGCAGCCTGTTTACACAGTTGGTGAAATTCTTTTTGTGAACTATTTACACTTACTGTGTTTTGCTGCTTATTCTCTCATTAACCCTCTCCAGGCATGCTTTCATTTCCCTTTGAAACTATTATTATCAGAGTCAATGATGACTTCCATCTTGATAAATTCAGTTTTCTTGTCTTTATCTTATTTAAACCTCAGCTGCATCATTGACATAGTTGATTTCTCCATCCTTCTTTTGTATATACATATAATTTTAGAGACGGAGCTTGCTTTGTGGCCCAGGCTGGAGTGCAGTGGTGTGTGTAATCATAGCTCACTGCTGCCTGGACTCCTGGACCCAAGGGGTCCTCTCACCTCCTCCCCAGCAGCTGGGACTACAGGTACAGACCACCACACCAGCCTAATGTTTTTGCAGAGACAGAGTCTCACCATCATGCCCAGGGTGGTCTCAAACTCCTAGGCTCAGGCAAACCACCTCAACCTCCCAAAGTGCTGGGCTTACAGACTTTAGCCACCATCCTCGCCTGTGCTTAAAACGCTTTTTCCTATTTGCATCTGAGACACCTCACTATTTTGTTTTCTTTGCTTTGTGTTTCTTCTGGGCCTCCTACACTTCGAGTGTTGGAGGGCTCAGCCTTGTTCTCAGTCCTTTTTAAAAGTCTGTATCCTTTATCTTGGGGATGTCTTCTATGAGCTGATAGCATTCAAATGTACATTTAGTCCTAAAAGCTTTGCCCTCACTTTTAAGAGTCATATATTCAACAATCAGCATCTCCACTTGGATCTCTAGTAAACAGCTCAAATATGTCCAAGCCATAACGTACACCCCCACTTACCCTACAAATGCATGGTGCTGCTTCTCCTGTCTTTCCCATTTCAGGTAATGGCATTATCATTCACGTTTTGCTAAGGCTGAATCTTAGAAATTACTCTTAACTCTTCCTTCTTTTTTTACCCTACATCCAGCTTTGTCTATCAGCAAATTGTCACCTCTACCTTCACAATGTACAGTGACTACTTGCTACCACCTCTTATATTTCCTTTGAACTATTGGAATGGGTTCTTGACAGATACTACTTTTCTCTTATGCTGCCTGCTCACTTGCCACCTTCATCCCTTAGTCTCCTGTAGTAGCTGTTGTCTTTTTAAAACTATGTGTTAGATCCGTTACTCCTTGCTCAGGTCCTTCTCAGGATCTTTCAGGTCTCTCTCTACTTTTCTAACTTCATCTGCTGTTCTCACCACATATGCATTGCTCTTCTTGACTTGTTTTACTTATTCTTTCTAGCTAGCAGATTTTCTTTTCCTGAAATCCTTGTCATGATCAGGGTCTCCAGATCTTCTCTAATCACCGTACTGTGATAGCTGTACATGTCACAACCGTCACTGTCATTTTCAGCAATCCCTCTCCTCTTAACCACTGAAAGCTCTTTTTAGCATTTCTGTATACCCAGAAGCTAAAACTAAAACATCTAGAAAAAAGTATAGAAGATCAGATGTTCATAAACTTGGGGCTGACAAAGTTTTCTTAGATAAATAAGACCTTGGCCATGAATTAGAAAGGAAAAGCAGTTCGTCAGTTGGACTTTGAAGAATGTCTCCCAAAAAATGCGAAGATATGTTACAGAAAAAAATATTTCTAATACATCTGACAAAGGACTTGTATCTAGGCCAGTTTTTTTTTCCCCCCTGCAACAGGGTCTCACTCTGTTGCCCAGGCTGAAGCACAGTCTCAGCTCACTGAGATCCTGGCTCAAGCAATCTCCTGCCTTAGCCTACCAAGTAGCTGAGACCACAGACACACTCCACTATGCCCAGCTAATTTTTTTACATTTTTTGTAGAGATGGGGTTCACCGTGTTGCCCTGGCTGAACTCCTGAGCTCAAGCAATTCTGCCTTGGCCTCCCAAAGTGCTGGGATTACAGGTGTGAGCCACCATGTCTAGCCTGGGCTATATATATATATTTTAAATATCTTACAACTGAATAATAAGACAAATAGTTAAATGAAAAGACTTGAACATTTGTTTCTCAAAAGAAAATGTAAGAATCTCCAGTATGTACATGGAAAAATCTTCAATATCTTTACTTATTAGAGAAGTGCAAGTTAAAACCACTGAGATTTTACTACAGTGCCAAAATTAAAGACTGATGACACCATGTGTTGGCAGGGATGTGTAGAGCAGCTGGCACTCTTATACATTGGAAAACCTTATAACAACTTTGGAAAACAGTTTGGCAGTTTCTTGTAAATGAAATACATATTTACCATATGACACAGGATTTCCACTTCTAGCTGTTTATCCAACAGCCACGAAAACATACATTTACACAAAGACATATGCATGAATGTTCATAGCTGTTTTAGTCATAGTTCAAAAACTGGAAGCAACCCACATGTCTATCATACATGAAACAACATGCTCACAATGGAATACTATCCAGCAGTAAAATGGAGCAAACTACTCATACATAAAAAAAACCTCAAGGCCATTATATTGAGCAAAAGAAGCTAGCACAAAAGAGAATATAATTGTATATATCTATATGAAATTCTAGGACAAGCAAAACTACTCAGGGTTAGGGTTAGGGTGCTTGGGGTCACAGGCAGAGCCAGCGGAGTGATGAAAATGTTCTGTCTGGATTGGAGCAGTGATTACACAGGTGTATCATTTGTCCAGACTCATCAAACTATACACTTAAAATATGTACAGCACGTTTTAGGTAAATTGTACTTCTAGGAAATGAGTTGTGTAAAATAGGTACTTATATATTTGGTTTTTCAGCTATCTCTGAAATGTTGATGAAGAAACTGCACCAAAGAGATTAAGTAGTTTGCATACGATAGAACTATTAGTAAATGGTAGTCTGCATTCATTTAAAACGATATTCAGTCAAGTGTTTTTATTGTATGATTGTTTAATCTTTTGTAAGCATTCCAACTGGGTTACATAGGGTTTTTAAGATTTCTTCACCCTAGTAGCTTTTAAAATCAATATGTTAAAAAACTTTTTTTAATCACTTTTATTTTTTTTGCAAGCAGTGATTTTAACCTTGTTGTCGTTTTATAACACATTAATGAAAATTTAGTCATTGAAACTTGGATCTTTCAGGTGATCCTCCTATTCTCCACTATGGGTTCTAGATATGCTTTTCTGAATCTTTCAGCCTAAAGATAGAAATTTCTTCACCCAGACCAAGTTGCAGGATTTTCTTCTCCTTTGGTGTATCATTACAGCTCTGTCTTTTTCACTTTGCTTCTTTGGCTCTGTACTTTTCACCTGTAGCTGTACCTTAATTTTCTCAGGGCTCACATGCCATTATTTTCTATATTTAATATCTTCATTTCTCTCTCTTAGGCATTCCAGCTCTGGCAGCTGCTTCTAAAGCATTCATGCTATATTTCCTTTGTCTCTAAATTTAGATTTTGAGATTTACTGTTGTGCTTCTACTTTTATTCAACAAATAATGAGCAACAACGTCTGGCACAATAAATAGGTATATACTCAGTAAACATTGGACAGCTGGATTAATTATTCTGATCTTAGTTTGGTGAATTATCTAGATATATTTCCCATCTGTGTGTTTTCATTTTAATATGTTCCTTAGAGAAATTTCTGATACTTTTGTGGGGTTTTTTCTTCTCCATGCCTGATATCCAGTGTTAGTCAGAAATACAGTTGTCACACTCATCTGATACTTTAATGTTTCAGCATCCACCTCCAGATAGACAGGCAGTACCTGGAAGACCAGGCCCCTTTCCCTCTAAGCAGCAAGTAGCTGATGAAGATGAAATATGGAAGCAAAGACGAAGACAACAGTCGGAAATTTCTGCGGCAGTAGAACGTGCTCGTAAACGGCGTGAAGAGGAAGAGCGAAGAATGGAAGAACAAAGGAAGGCGGCTTGTGCAGAGAAACTGAAACGGTTGGACGAGAAGCTTGGCATCCTGGAAAAACAACCATCTCCAGAGGAAATTAGGGAAAGGGAGAGAGAAAAAGAAAGGGAGCGTGAAAAAGAACTTGAAAAAGAACAAGAACAGGAGCGAGAGAAGGAGAGGGAAAAAGAAAGGGAGAGGCAACAGGAAAAGGAGAAAGAGCTGGAGAAGGAGCAGGAAAAACAAAGAGAAATGGAGAAGGAAAGAAAGCAAGAAACAGACCGAGAACTAGAACGGCAGAAAGAAAAGGAAAAAGAACTACAAAAGATAAAAGAACAGGAAAAGGAATGTGAGCTGGAGAAGGAAAGGGAGAAATTAGAGGAGAAAATCGAACCCAGAGAACCTAATTTAGATCCCACAGTAGAAAAACAAGAAAGTGAAAACAGCTGTAACAAAGGTATGATAGTCTCGTTTATTCTCTTTTATAAACTTTACAAAGAGCTCTATGTTGGTTACAGTTTGGGGGTTGTATATTTTAAATATATGTAATCAGAATAAAAGCAATTGTTTTATGATACCATTTCCAGTACAAAATATGGGCTAGAGCTATGTTTTCTAATTTTATGTATGAACAGACATCCCTGAAGTGTTTCTCAGTTATTAGATGAGCTTTATTTCTGTTTTATCTGCAGAACTGCATTGGCTTCGTAGTCACATATACTGATTCTCCCCCTGCTTTTTTCTGACTCCCAAGACATTTAAGCACAGTCTCATTTGTTAACATATATTACTACCTCTGAAACTGAACCGGCATGGAGCTTAATGAGAATGTTGGATTATCATAATTAAATGACTGTACCTAGTTCATAATTTCAGGTTTGCTCTTCTACCGGTTTAAACATGCAAGCTTCCATGGTGTAGTTGATATGCCATTAGACTGTAATTTCCTGGAGTAATTATACTTTTTTAAAAAAATTATTTTTCTAGATTTTTTTGTTCTTCAAGTTGGCTTATAGACTAATTAATGGCATTCAAATATAGTATAAAGCCTCAGCAAAATTAAAGTTTAGTTTGAATGAATGACTTGAGTTAAAATAGAAATGCAGTTTTATTTCAGTGTATTTTCTGATGTGGAAATACTATAACTTTTCTAATTTGACGTGTCATGCTCTTTTTCTACAAGGTACTCCTACTTAAAATAATAAGAATGTGTTTTTTTAGCCGAGCGTGGTGGCTCAAGCCTGTAATCCCAGCACTTTGGGAGGCCGAGGCGGGTGGATCACGAGGTCAAGAGATCGAGACCATCCTGGTCAACATGGTGAAACCCCGTCTCTACTA